ACCTGTCAACCCGCCGCAATAAAACCCCTCCCCTGGCCTGCCTATCTGTTCAATAAATCACAGTTATGTTCGTGTAATCAAATCACCGGCTTCAATCCGCCATCGATCCATCGCTCCATGTCCGGGCCGGTTAGACTGGGGTATAAACAAGACTCTCTTTCACGCTAGCCCTCGGCTATGTACGTGGGGTAGGGGGGGGGGGGTAGAGACCTTCAAAAATTAGCATCAAAGGACGGGAGAATAGTGGGGAGGGGGGGAGGATAGCTGGTCTGTCTGAAGGCTATTTAAGTACGTACTGTGGACAAGATGGCGGGGGGGGGGGGGGTAACAGAGGTGTCCCTCTAGGCGAGAGAATGTTAATTACAGCAGTCCGTCGTGGGGGAGGGTGGGGGAGGGGGTGGGGGGCGGAAAACTGGGCGTTTTTTCCAGGACATCGATTTGTACTTATGTCAGTGGGTGGCGTTCAGAGAAGTAAATTAAATGACTGAATATATATATATATATATATATATATATATATATATATATATATATATATATATATATATATGAGAGCGTATCGAAGGCGGATTTACTGGGTTTATTGTGGAGGGGTTTATAGGCTAATGCTGGCTGTATACTAGGCTAATTAATAAAGTATCCATGAATTCTTTAAATGGATAATGATAGGTGTTACCTGAGTGCATGGGAAAGATAATATATGAATAACTTGATTTAAACAGTTTTTGTTTATTCAACATCTCTTCATACGGAACTACAACAGCGTCGGTTTAAAATTTACTGGTTCTCACTGTTGCTGTTGCTGCCCCAATTGAGCAACCGCCACCGTCCCTACACAAACTGAAGTAATACAAGGTTTTATAGTCCATCCCATAACGGAGGAAGCACCATCCTTCCTACACATACTTAACTAACCCAAGGTGCATGTGTTCAACCCAAGCTGCACGTATAGAATGTAATGCTGCCGTTGGTTTCCCAGTTGTAATTTGTCCACTTGCTTCTGTATGTTAGGACTTACTGTTTGCAATTTAACAAATTGTTTTGATGCTTGTCTAGTAGCTGTATTGGGGAATGTGGGGAGGTTGTGTGGGGAAGCTGTTGAGCTGTCTTACACCATTACATCATATATGCGCCCCTATGGTAATGAGCATACAAGGAGTAAAATGTAATGAGCTGCAAATATAAAAATAAAAGTCAAATATTTGTTCACGATATAAAGATGGGTAGAGCAGATACTATAATTATAAAACGTACGTTTGTTTTGTGACCTAAGCATCAAATTAATCTGGCCAATGCCAAAGATAATTCTCTTTACTTTCCCAGACTTTTGTTATGTAGCCATTATGGCTGAATGATTGTTATTTCGAGCTCAAAACTATCGTGTTATCAATCAATACTTCTAACACTCGACCACACAATAATAAAAATACAGATGGGAGATTTAAAACTTTGAAAATCAGAAAGAAACCCACTTTTCGGCTTACCTTTGCATTTCAAACAAAATATCAACATTATAAAACTACAGCCGTATTTGATTTCAAGCGTCGTTATTAAATCTCACATAACGCGTGTCTATGACAATCAGACTCCTAGACTGAACGATCACATCGAGTTCTAGCTTCTTCTCAAGACTCCATGCTGTAATTTGTTACCTTAATTTGCTGTCGAGCCAGCTATTGTTTAAGATATTCCCTTCGCCGAGTCACGTTTTGCTGTGTTGTTATCGGTGATTATTTCATTTTGTTCCAGTAACGTTGGACAGCATTTAGCATCGTATCGAGTTTCATCCGATTGTTCGAGTCTTGCCGTTCACTTTACGAGGAGAATAAGACGTAAAATTTGTCGTTAGATGCAGCGCGTAATGATGTGGATTTGTGGAATTCTAATCGTTGAAATTTGAGGATGCTTATTAAAGGGATGCGATGTTTCTGTGATGTTAAGATGAAATGTATCAAAGTTTGAAGTTTGTAATGGATGTTTAGTTATGGTAAATGTGCTAGGGATTTTTTCTGAGGGATTTTGTTGTAAAAAGTGGGCTTGATGGTTTGAGCGAGGTGTGTTTGCAGCTGCTTGTGTACAGAGAAAGTGCCCTTCATATGGTAGATTGAATATAGAGAAAATATAGTGTAATAGTAGTGTTAAATAACAGACAGCTGACAGATGATGAAGAATATAGGTTTTTGATTGATTAATTCGTTTTCAATGCAGCATCAGATATGGCTCCCCATCCTGCATTTAATGCAATCCAGCATCAGACACGACCCGACATTCAACACCACACACAACCCTACATCCAACATCACACACGACCCCTACATCCAACATCATACACGACCCTACATCCAACATCACACACGACCCTACATCCAACATCACACACGACCCTACATCTAACATCACACACGACCCCTACATCTAACATCACACACGACCCCTACATCCAACATCATACACGACCCGACATCCAACATCACACACGACCTTACATCTACCATCATACACATCCTTAATTCCAACATCATACATGACCTTATATTCACCATCATACACGACATTACATCCAACATCATATACAAACATAAATCCAGTGTAGGCCATAACATTACATCCAACACACACGACGTTATATGCAACATCAGACATTACCCTACATCTAGCGACAATACAGTTTCCCTATCAAGCATCAATCAAGGCTCTCCACCTAAGGAGCAGCCACTATTCTCCATCCAGCAACATCTTCCAGCATCCTACACAGTCGCCCATCCAACGTCCAGCAAGAACCTATCACCCAACAACCTACATAGACATCCATCCAACACTAGTCACCTACCCCACCCCTCGCCCCCGACCCCCACCCAAGCTCCTGCAGTGACGGTACTAAAGTGTATACTATCCACCACACCGTCAAGTAACCAGCCTCTTCCATCCATTAACATTTGAGACATTATCAAAACATAATGTAATACCAACAAACTGGTGGATAAAAAAACGAACTAATTTAACAAATAATTTAATGAGTGTATTTTTCATCTTCACAAAAAACATCATAAACATTGAAATTGAGTATTGTCAAATGTAAACAATGAAGAAAAACATAGTATGCGTTAAATCATCACTTAACATCTTGTTACATTACATATTAAGCAGCCACATCGATACATAGCTATAATTTCTACATAATTATTTATTTCCACGACACATAACGCTGGACAGTAATGCTAACATACACTGGGATCATACATATATGATTAATTAAGGGTCAGCATTCACAGACATAATAGACCTTAACCTTTTGACAATAAGCCTAACATACGTGCCCAAAGCCTAACATAGCGCCCTAAGCCTAACATAAGTGCCCAAAGCCTAAAATAGTGCCCAAAGCCTAACATAGTGCCCAAAGCCTAAAATAGTGCCCAAAGCCTAACATAGTGGCCTAAGCCTAACATACGTGCCCTAAGCCTAACATACATGCCCTTAGCCTAACATAGTGGCCTAAGCCTAACCTACGTGCCCTTAGCCTAACATACGTACCACAAATACAGTTGATAAAACAATAAACAAAGTGAAGTACAAAAAAACCAAAGTATTTTAAGTCAGTTGGTTACATCACATTGTAAGCAACAACTGAACATCAGAGCATAAAAAAATAATGTACTGTACAGTATACACACGCGTCGAAATATAACAGGAGAAATCATGACTCCATTCAATTAATTATTAAAATTTATGAGGCAGAGAATATTTTTTTAAAAAAGAAACATGTTCAAACGTCTTTTGTTTCCTCAATCACACACATTATTTAACATACACATTTTGTTTAAGATACAGGTTTTCGATATCTTAAAGTTATCTTATCAAACATTATCTGTCCCCTAACATTTTTTCCTGACTTCCACACTCCCCCCCCCCCCCCCCCTCCTCTCTTTCTCTTCTCTCTTGCTTATAGACTAAATTAGCTTAAAATGTTGACAGCAATTACAATACATTATTGGGGAGATTGCTATATTAAAAATGTATTTTATCGTAAGAAGTAGTAACCTGTAGTTCTTCTGATAAATTTTAAAATTAATTTATACTTTTAGACAGACTAACCAAGGAACGACTATCTGGTCACGACTATATCAATCGAACCTTTATTTTCCAATACTTAATCAAGCCAATCTCAGGACCTATGGGTACGTAGTCGTGCGCTCTACTCACTAGCCACGGGAGATAGGAAGGTTTTCGGAATTGCAACTGAAATTTTAATTTTATCATCAATAAAATATATTTTAAATGCCGAATTGTGATTCTATCAGCTAAAAATGTAATCCATAATTTCAGAAAAACAATAGAAATAATGAAAGAAAGTGATTTAACGAAACCCACAATCAAGTGAGAACATATTGTATTTTGTTGGGAAATCAATTTACATAGTTCTAGCCGGGTGAGCACATGTTCAGCCGGGCGTGACAAGACCACCGCCACGGGCAATTCAACGAAAGATCTTTAGTTTCTATAAATAGATCAAGCACAGCGCACATTACGCGTGAGAAAACAGTGCCGAGCAACATTTAAACACACTATCACATCATGAAATGGTGAGACAAAAAACAGTGCATGTTTCTAACGTGGGGGGGGGGGGGGGGGGTGATCGTATGATGCTAATGCATGAGGGAGGGGGAGTGTATTGACTCCACCCTCCCCACCCTCACAGCTAAGAGGGACATTTTTTTTACAATAGCAGAGAGAACAAAAAAACAACGTGTAAGTAAAATACAATAATTATTTTATAGTTTGGCCGTTCTAAAACTGTTATCGCTAATTAAAACGTTTATCACTCTCCTGTACACAAGCCGCTAATGTATATATATATATATATATATATATATATATATATATATATATATATATATATATATATATATATATATATATATATGTACTTATTTACTTATTCTTACATACAAGTGTATGTTTATTGTCTACGTAAATGTCTGCATTCAAATGTCCATTGAAATAATTGTTTTTAAAAATCATGTAAGTAACGACGAAGTTTCAGACTTGAATATTTATGAATATTTCACGACGCCACCTCCGCCTCTGTCTCGATGGGTTTATCCCGCATCGAGCCCGGGTGGTACTCGTCTCTGATCATCAGGTCACATTTACTTTTCGCCGCGAGCTTATCGTCTGCCCCGCAGCTACTGAACGACGTCATATCCGGTTTGTCCTCGGCGTCGCGCTCGTCCTCGCTGACGTCATTGTCATTGTCATCACAGCACTCGGATTCCATCGGTTGCTCCCCGCGCAGCCGCATGACCCCTGGGTCTTCTTCATCGCTGTGGTCTCCCGGGCTGTGCGCGGGGGTGGCGTCGTCGCTCAGGCTGGCTAAAGACGACGACGAAGGGGACTGCAGACCCCCGTTGTTGAAACTATCCCTCAACGTTTTCTCTTGGACTTTTCTCAGTTCCATCTCCACCAACGACCCGGGAATCGATTTCTGAATCGGGAGCTTCTTCGCGGCGGTGACGTCGTTCTTCAGCTCCTCCAAATCCCGCTTGAGCTTGGCTCGGCGGTTCTGGAACCACGTGATGACCTGGGCGTTGGTCAGACCCAGGCTGGCAGCGATCTCGTCCCGGTCGGCGGGCGTCAGGTACTTCTGGTACAAGAACCGTTTCTCCAGCTCGTAGATCTGCTGGTTGGTGAAGGCGGTTCTGGACTTTCTGCGTTTCTTAGGCGGCTGGTGTTTGCCGAACAAGGCGGCTTGGTCTTTACGTTTGGCGTCTGGAAGTTAAAAACAATGAAATGAATAGAAGTTGAGTGAAATAAAATATAAAATATAATCATTTTTTTTATTAATAGATGGGTTAGTGGAAATAAGATTTTGTAGAAGTTGCAAGGATATGAGTTGTGTTTTTAGAAAAGTCAGAACTTTGAAATTTAAAAAAAAAACTCCATTGTAAGTACATTGTTATTCAAATCTGAGGAAGAAAATGAGTTTGTGTGTGTGTGAGTTGCAGGGTTATTCAGATTTTTTTTCGGAGAATAAATCACTGTTATTGGTAGCTGTGTTTTTCGATAAACAATAGGGCTGGTAAGTAGGTCACCAACCAGTTCTATTGCTCAATAAAACCTGCATGAGCCATAGAAAAGGTTGGTGACCTACTTACCAGCCCTATTCCCAAAGTATAAACATTATATAACTATTATGTAAATATGTGAGTGCATGTCCATATCAGCAGCAATCGGTTGTAAATGGTGACATGGAATATAATATATTTTTTTAAATATCTCGCGTAACTCTATCTACGCCCACTATGGGCTATTAATATACATTTCATTATTACCATAATAATGAGATAGCTCGTCGACATAACCAAAAACATAATTTTCTTGTAAAAACCAACTCTTCAGTTAATTGCTCTTTTTTTTATACCTCACGTAATCACGTGAATATCACACCCTCTAATAAACTTCAGTATCGAGTACATGTTAAATTGTTAGCGTCGATACTTAACCTATTCAAACTTCATAAAAATCTACTTCGGCTCGGTTACCATTTTCGCAGTATCGATACGTTTGATAGTGCACTAGAAAGCACAGGTGCTAGGTATCGTGTTACACTTGTGTATACCGTAGGCAACAGGTTGTTTGGGGTCAGACTTCACCCCAGGGGGCGCATTGCCCCGTGGGGGTCCGGCATTGAAATCAGGTCTGTGAGGTAATTGTAATAAATAAAAAAAATTAATAAATGATAATTTCATGAGAGAGGGACATTAACAAAACGCAGTGGGGGGTTGTCAAAAAGGGGAGCGGAACACGATACTCTCTGTTGGGTTCAATTGTTAATGGATCCCACGATCGTCAAGGTTCTCACGTTATATCCAGCTAATCCACAAATGCGGATCACGGATATAAAGATACACATCTCGTCTGGCATCTGTTACCGTTTTATGTCTGTTATTTTTGGCAGCTTTACGCGAGTAGGTTTATGACGAGCGCAGTGTGAGACCAAATTAATGATATGCTAAATAACCTGTCGTTTCATGCTTGTGACAAGCTTCGACATCGAGAGTGTGAACAATTGAATAGTAATTAAAACTTTTTTTGCTGATAAGAAACAAAAAAATAATTAACCAGGTTATTATTATTCAAGTTTAAAAAAAAAATGCTTGCAAAGTGTAATATTTTTATTATGCGTTATAAAATGTCTTATTTATTATCTGGATTTCAAGGGGTCGGCGTGGTCGAGTCGGTAAAGCTCATGGTTGCTAAACAGAAAAGTCCCGAGTTCGGACCCTTGGTCAGATGAGGCTCGTTAGTTGGGGACAGCCACTCTTCTAGGAGAGACAACTCCAAAATCAAACAACTGCTGCTTGTAGTTTGTTCTTGGTTGGACAAAGGCTATTGAAGCAAATCCAAAAAGAAAAGTAGGCTGAAATCGGAGTCAATGGCCTCAATGGCGCATAACCAGTAGACAGTAATTGTGTTGGAGGGGGTTCCAACACTAAAATTAAGAACGAAGAAGAACAATCTGGATTTCATAAAGTGAAGTATTGTGAAACTGCTATAATGCGTCTGATATTTTTGTTGTAAAAACGTACATAGTTTACCTGTTATTTACTAAATCGCATGTCCCTTACTACTTTTCTAGTATTATGTCTGTTTTTACCACGTCTCCAATATGAAGCATGTCTATTAACACAATTAATTATGAAGCTGAACAGCATGACGAAATCACGTAAAGATCACGTCAAGATAATGACACATAAATACGTCTAGTCACCCACTTTGTGCACATATCGTATTTCTCGACTGCTTTGTGCTTTTCATTCCTCATTACAAAGTACAATAGGTTGGCCAGAAAAAACTGTCATTGCTTGAAAAAACAATTCAATCATAAGGCAGATAATTTTTCAAGTTAATTAACTAGATATTTACGATTGCTGTATTGGATGTTTTATTGCTTTTATCCTGCACTGCATCAATATGGGTATTAAATGGGATCACCGTTGAAAGTATCACGTGATGTGGTAATACGACAAGGATAAGTCTGCTTGGTGATACGAAAATATTTTGTTCAGACTATAATATACACTTTGGAACTTATGGAGGGTTATTTTTTTAAAATTAGCTACGATCGTTGTGTAAAATTAAATATAGTTGACATTGTAAATGAATTATAACGGAATTAATTGAAATCGTAAACTGGTTTCGCAAACTGATTATAATTGTAAATTAATTACAATTCAGCTTGAAAATAAGTTATAATTTACTTTGCAAATTATGCATAATTTACTTTGTGAGTTAACTATAACTGTTATTGTAAATCAAGTATAACTGAACTAAAAAATTAATTGTCATTGTCCAACAGCGTAACACCACCAGTTACTGCCCCTAAATGACAGCTTTTTGTTTTGATTATTTTCACATTATGATAAACAAATGTACAACATATAACACACACAGTAGCGTAAAATTGTATTATATAAACATTTTATATCGCAGTATCCCAAACTACTTAATACTTTTTTTGGAAACTATACAGATAATTATATCTAATTGATACTTTTTGGAAACTATACAAATATTTATAACTAATACAAATGAATAATTCAAACAACTTAATACTTTTTGGAAACTATACAAACAGTTGTTGAACGACGAATGAATGTGTAGGGTGTACATGAAGGGGTGGGGGGGGGGGCAAGCTCAGATTTTAGTATCACTTTTCACAATTCAGATTTATTGTAGCCGACACAGTGGGAGAGAAATGTTCAAATCTAATTCCCCATCTCCAGTGAAATAGGCCAGCCTCGATCTGAAGTCAACAATTTATTTGTATGATTGCAAAGGCTTCACTTCTCTCCACCCCCTTCATACACACACACCGCTACAAGGAACCCACCTTAAGATAGCCCCAACAGATAAAACACAAAGCTAAGATTTGGGTGCTCAATACTTCAAGGAATTGAGTAAAATCTTCCCCCCACTTTTTATTTTTAAGCCGCCGCGATATTTTTACACCGCGCGATTAGTACAATAATAGTGAAATATGATTCGGGAATTCCCGTTAAAATTGAGCGGTAATCCCTTCGGTTTTAAGTGTTTTTTGATGATTTTATTTTATTCGTGTTTTCAGCTGCTTCGGTACGGGGTAGATCCTAAGTGGACTTAAGGCATATCGCTTGATCGTGTTCGTTAACACAGGGGGGAGAAATACTGCAGATCATTTCGGTTAGCGGTACAACGATATCAAATTTCTGTTATCGACGATTTATTTACGACAGAGGTCGGCAGCAGTTCTTTTTTTTTTTTTTTTCAGAGAAGAGCCATTTTTATTTTTATTATCTCTGTTAAAAATCTGCGCAGGAGCTGAGTTTAAAATTTCATTGAAGTTTGGATAATTTAAATTGTCGGTTTCAAAGTTTTAAAAAGCTCTGTATATTTTTAAGTGATATAATTATATTGTTAACCTTAAACATATATATTTATATGTATATGTATATGTATATGTATATGTATATGTATATGTATATGTATATGTATATGTATATGTATATGTATATGTATATGTATATGTATATGTATATGTATATGTATATGTATATGTATATATATGTATATGTATATGTATATGTATATACATATATATATGTATAAATATATATTTATTTTTTTATATATATATATGTATATATATGTATATATATCTATATATATATATATATATATCTATATATATATATATATATATATATATATATATATATATATATATATATATATATATATAAATATATATATATATATATATATATATATATGTATATATATATATGTATATATATATATATATATATATATATATATATATATATATATATATATATATATATATATATATATATATATATATATATCAACGGTATCGTCTGTTGAAGTGGATATATGATCTCTCGCTTGCGTCGCTCGGTAAAGTTTGACATTTGAAGACTTAAGCCGTTCACCGTGAAGTGAAGTCGTTGAACCAGGCACCAGAGGGTTCAAGACAAGAGCCCTCGCACGCAGTCGTCAGATTGTTCTCGGTCACGCCATGGAACCTAATTCAGCTGAGTGAAGCACAATCGTGTGCTGCTAAATTGGGCCGAAACACAACGCCAAGTGCTTTGGACTTGTATGTATGGTTCGTTTCTCGGGGGTAACAAATTAAACTTGAAAATGTATATGACATTTTCGTAATTAATACATGTGTGTTCTGTGCATTATATATATATATATATATATATATATATATATATATATATATATATATATATATATATATATATATATATATATCAGCGAGAGTTACGCTACCTAGGAGCCACAAAGGAATAAGCAAAGTAAATTGAAGTGAAATATTAATTAAGTCATTAATTAATTAAAATTAATAAAGCGAGCGAGTCTGTATTACCTGAATGAAATGAATGATATCACATACACACATACAAAAAGAAAATGCAGTGTACCCACAAGCCCAAAACTATACACATTTCTTTTTTTCAATTAAATAATAACAATAAGAAAACAATATTGTATTGTATATTAATTATTATCAGTCATATATATATTCTCACTGGTCTTTAGACAAATTTTTACGCTTTGATTAAGTCTTTACAACGACCGTGATAGAGAGAACTATCACAACTATCGTTTTGCATCCTCAAGACCGACTTCTCTATACGTGACGCACTTTTCATAATTAGAACTGCATTAACGGCTCATTAAACATCAGCATATTT